CTATTCTATTCTATTCTATTCTATTCTATTCTATTCTATTCTATTCTTTCCTTATTCCTTATTCCCTATTCTATTCTATTCTATTCTATTCTTTCCTTATTGCTTATTCTATTCCATATTCCATATTCTATTCCATTCCATATTTTCTATTCTATTCTATTCTATTCTATTCTATTCTATTCTATTCTATTCTATTCTATTCTATTCTATTCTATTCTATTCTATTCTATTATTTCCTTATTCCTTATTCTATTCCATATTCCATTCCATTCTACGCTATCCTATCATATTTCATATTCCATTTCATTCCATTCTGTTCCATATTCTATATTCCATTCTTCCACTTACAACCATTGCAGCATCCCCACTAATCACATAATCAAAATTCAGAAGCTGGAAAACTGGCCTGCATTTATGACGGTTGCAGAGTCCTGGGGTCTCTTTTTGCCATCTTCTGACAGGTAAAATTCTATGGGGAAGCCAGATCCACTTAACAACCATCTTACTATCTTAACATCCGCAGCGGCTCACTTAACAACTCTGGCCAGAAAGGTCTTAAAATGGGCCAAAACTTGCTTAACAACCGTCTCGCTTAGCGTCAGAAATTTTGGGCTCGGTTGTGGACGTCAGTCAAGGACTACCTTGACATTCATATGCCTGGCTCTCTGATTGAACTCTTTTTATTCGTAGTTCCCTTGGGCCTTTCTGGTTCAAGTTCGCCAGTTGATCCTTTTAACCACAAGTAAGGCTGTTTTCATTTGAAATCCTCAGAGCCTTACAGCGCAAAGGGCTCACCAACCTTTCAGCTCTCAAGGACCACTAAATTCGTAATTTTAAATCCCGCGGACCACTAATACGATCTGCCAGATGACCAGCTGGGTGGCGTGGGTGGGCGGTCATGTGACTGGGTGGCAGAGGTGGTATTCAACAGGTTCTGACCAGTTCTGGGGAACCAGTAGCATGTCAGGATTCCGGCAGTTACCCTCCATTTAAATCATGAGTCTTGAGCCAAACTTCTAAAACTTCCAAAGGATTTATTGGGAGTTAATATGTCCGGCACTGCCTGGGTGTAGCCAACTCTGAGGCACAGATAATTCACTGTCACCTTTGACCCTGGTTTCCCTTCCTCCCCCGGTGTATCGTAATTCATATTCTCCGATGAGACACATCCATAGCCAACAGTCATCAACCATGTTCTCCAGTTAGATATTTGCGGCGGCAGGAACTTCAGTCACCTAGTTACTATCTTTGAAAAACTATTTATGGAATGCACTTTTGATTTCCAAGCTGCCGCACTGCTCTTTCAAACCCCTTTCCCTCCTCCCTTTCTGTTGGCAATTCTAAAAAGACCATAGAAATATTTTATGAATTGATATAATGGAAATTTTGAGTAGTTTGGAGAACCGGCAAATCCCACCTCTGACTGGCCTCACCCCCATCTATTCTCTGCCTCCCATTGAGTCCCAGCTGATCGGCTGGGTCTTCTTTGGTTGCCCTGCACAGGAGAACGGAGCTGGAAAGCAGGTTAGTGGGGTGGGGAGGGAATGGAGATTTTGCAGTATATCCTTCCCACGCCACGCCCACCAAGCCACACCCACAGAACTAGTAGTAAAAAAAAATTGATTCCCACCACGGGTTTGTACGTGTTAAGGATCTGTCATACGTCACTCTTCCATGTTGTTGTAACGCTGAGAGGTCACTAAATGAATGGTTGTAAGTCAAGGAATACCTGGAAATATCGCCCCCCTCAAAAAAATAGACCGAACCATCTTATATAGGCCAGCAAAGGCACACACAACCAGCCCACAAACCACAAAAAGATTGACAATAGAATAGAAAAAGAAGTAAAACTGATGGCAGGAAGTTGGCCTGTCAAAGAAAGATGTCCGCCCCCACAACAGTGAAAAGCACTGATGTATTAAGACAACATTTTGTTGCAGACCTCAGTTGTTACTGTCAAGGTGTGTGGATTTCTGGGAATGGAAGTGCACAGATGCTGGATGGGGAATTCTGGGAGTTGAAGTCCATAGAACTGACTAGGAAATTCTAGGATTTCACATCCACAAATATTGCCTGGGGAATTCTGGGAGTTGAAGTCCATAGAACTGACTAGGAAATTCTAGGATTTCACATCCACAAATATTGCCTGGGGAATTCTGGGAGTTGAAGTTCATAGAACCTGACTAGGAAATTCTGGGATTTCAAATGCACCAATGTGGGATGGGGAATTCTGGGAGTTGAAGTCCACAGATACTGACTGGGGCATTCTGGGATTTCAAATTCACAAATGTTTGGCTGGGCCATTTTGAGGGTTGAAGTCCAAAGACGCTGGCTGGGGAATTCTGGGAGTTGAAGTCCACAGAGGCTGAGTGATTTGAAATCACAGACCCTGTGATTTCAAATCCTGGCTGGGGCGTTCTCAGAGGTCAAGGCCACCATGCTGGCTAGAGAGCATTCTGGGAGTTGAAGTCCACTCATCTTAAAGTTGCTGAGGTACAGAAACACTATTTCAGAGCACCAAATCGGCCTTGTCTGATTGCCCGAAAGCTAAGCAGGATCAGGCCTGGCGAATGTGCGGATGGGCGAGGGCTCTTTGCTGCTTCTCTCTTCCCCCTCCAGTTTCCTGAACGGGGACAATTTATAGGCAGGCGAAACGGAACCCACACTTGTGTGTGTGCGTGTGTGTGTGTTTGCCTCTTGTTCTACGTGTTCGTTTGGCACCATCTGTGAAAAATGCAACCTACACACCAGCTGGAGAGATAGTGAAAAAAATGAAAGGGGGGAGAAGAGAAGAAATGACCGAGATTTTTGGATGGGGACGGCGAAGAACAGATCGTTCTATGAAGTTCGGTTAAGTTTCACCACAGGAGAACAGTTGGCGAGGCGCCCTGCGAGGTCAAAAAAGTCAAAATGGAGGACACAGCCATTCTGCTGAAGCCCCGGGTTGTCTGCGCAGGGCTCCAATGGGATGGCTGCAGCTGCCATTTTGACTTTTTTGACCTCCCCTC